AAGGAATAGGGCAAGTAACTTAATACTAAGATCTTATTATATCGAGTAAGTAGTAAAATAAGTATATTTATTAAGAAGTATAAAGTCTTCTCTCTATATATCCCTAAGTGCTTACTAATAAGTAAGAAGTGGGTCCTACTTATATATAAAGAGAAAATCTAGTAATAACGGGACGGGCAAGGAGTCATTCTGGTCGACAATATATTAATAAAATCTTTATAGATTTTATAAATATTTTTATAATTATTTATTTAGATAATATTCTAATATTCTTATTTAATATAAAAGACTATATAAAATATATTTAAAAGATTCTTATAAGATTTTATAAATATAAATTTTATATAAAAAGATTAAAATATATATTTTATATTATAAAAATAGAATCTTTTAATTATATTATTATATTATGAAAATAGAATTTTTTAATTATATTATTATATTAAAAAATATATAAATAAATTAAAAAAAAATAAAAAATTTATATAAATGAAAATAACTTTATATATAAATAAATATAATATCTATTAAAAAATATAATATATAAATATAAATTATATAGACTATTAGAACTATTATTAATATTTTAAAGATTATTATAATAAATAAGTGTTAGATGAAATATAGGCTATATAGGAACAAGATATTAATCCAAGGGATTGATATTATAGACTCTAGAGAGAAAAAGAAGAAGAGAGAGAAAACTAGCTATAGTCTAAACATAAACCTAAGTCCTATAGGTCGGGATTATATATAGCCCTATATAGCTATCACGTGACCTCTAACACCCCCTTTAGGACGAAGACTATTACTAAATCTCTTTATCTCTACTAATAAAAACTCTCTATTTTATTTTTCTTATTTTCTACTATTTCCTATATATTATAAACCTATATCTATCCGTAAAATTTAGTATATAGATTAATTAAGATCTAGTATCTAGATAAACTTTATATATATATATTTATTAAGCGCTTTTATAAACCCGTTAGCGATATTACTCTTTATCTTAATATACCGTAGATCGATCTTCTTCTAAAAACTAGCGTCCTTAACAAAAAACTATTTTATATTAAGCTAACGTATACTATTCTTATACGATTTCTTATCTATTAGTAACTACGTATTAATATTATCTATTAAAATAATAATTAGATTACCTACCTTAGAAAGATTAAGCGCTTTAATAATCTTTAAAATCTACTAAGTATTCCTAGTAGATCGATCTAGAATATACTATTTAATAGCTATCGACGATAGAGTTATAATACTCTATTTCTTCGAGTACTAAATAATAGGTACGCTACCGAAAAACTAAATAGTACTCTTTATCAATTTTAAATTATACTAATTATTATATAAAATATCGGTATATATAAAGAACGAGGTATCGTCTACCCCCTTTAATATTATACTATAGTATATTATATTACTAAGATACCTATAGATAGTACGGACTATCTATAAATCGTTAATAGTTAAAGAAGTAGAACGATATTATAACTTTATAATACATGGGGTGCCAAAAGTTTGGTTATACTCCCTATTTATATATATATATTTATTCAACCACCTACTTTTAAACTTGAATTGCTTAATAATCATATATAAATAAAGATAATATTAATACTTTATATACTAGCCCTTTGCTTTCTTTACTACCTAGATTCTATTTAGTATAGATCGGATAAAAGTATCGATCTAACTCTAATTAAGAGCTTTCTAAGTAATATTAATTATAGTACGGAATCGCCTCTAATCTATCTTAGATTTATCCTATATATAGAGTTCTAGATAGAGTTTAAAGAGTTTCTTTTTAAAAAGGAACTAAATATTCTTAATTAGATTTAGATCCGGCGAATAAGGGGGCTATTCTATAATCTAAATACTATACTTTTTAAATTATAATTATATAATTTTTATTATATAAATTTAAGTATTATCTTACTAAAAAATAAAATTAGATTTATAGATTCTAAAAAGTCCTTTTTTAAAAGTTTTAATATAAGTTTTAATATTAAATCTATAATTAAGCTTTTTTTCTATAATAATTAAGCCTAAATAGCCGCTAATCTAGATAATAATCTATATTTTTTATAAAATCTATTTTTTATAAAGTTAAAAATTTATTAAATTAAATTAATATATTTTATTTTTAAGCTAGAAGATAAATTAAATATAAGAATTAGATTTTCTTTAGATAGAATATTTATTAAAAAATAGTATATTATTTAAATTATTAAGATTTAACTAATTCTTAATAAATTTATATTATCTTTTTATATTAAAAGATTTTAGAAAAATATATTTTTTTAACTTTTAATAACTAATTCCTAGCTTTTAGAATATATAATATATTATAATTTTTAAAATACTAGTTAGAAGTTTAATAATTAGCTTATTCTAGCTAATTATAAGAAACCGGTATATAATCTAATAAATATATCGAATAATAATTTATATAAGCTTCTTTAGCCTACCTTACTAGAGACGAGATAAAAGGGATTTAGTCGAATTAAAGCGGTTAATAGTATCGTATATAGCTTTATAGGAGTAACTAAAGTCGCGTATAATATATATCTTCTTTTAACCCTTAGAAACCGCGTAAAGAATTATAGTACGCGCTATTTCTAAAAGCTCGGCTTTTAACCTTCGGTTTCTACTAATTTCTATACCGAAAGCACGCATTTTAGTAGATTTATGGTTATTTAAAGATGATTAGTTAGTAGAGTGGGAAAGGGAAATAAAAGTATAACCAAACTTTTGGCACCCTATATAATTACCCCCTAAAACCCGGGCCCCTAATACGTCTACGAGCCTAGATAGACGTAGCTAAAGACGAAGTCTGTAAGAATTTACTGTTTTTAGGTGTAAGGCCTGTCAACCGGGTAAGATACGTTGGCTTAGGAGAAGGAAACAAGGGTGTATTGGGCTGTATATGCTAAGACTAATTCTTGCTAGAATTTAGGGGTCCCGGGGGGACCTAAGATTAAAAGGAAATATACGTGCTAAGGCTCGGTACCGATTAGGTAACGAATCCTATATGATTTATATATATATTAGAAACTTCTATAAATATATATATCGCCTAAGTTCCTATTTTATTTTTAAAAGGACCTTTATCCTTTATAATTATTCCCCCTTCTTCTATAAGGATATCTATATCTAAAATAGATAGTAGCTATAAAGTATCGGGGAGATATTAGTAATACTCTATAATAAAAAAGTTATAATTAGAATAATTCCGAATCTTTATCTAATTTTTTCTATATCTTTATAATATTAGAGCTATATAGCTATAGATATATTTATAGTAGAGAACCCTAATTTCCTAACTATCCTTAATATTTAGTATTAATTTTACTATACCTACTATTTATAGAAATCGAATCTATCTAAAAAATATATAATATATAAGCTATCTTTATTCGATAATTATTTATTTTATCTTTAGAATAAGCGTAGTTCTATTTTCTATTTAGTATTTCTTATATAAAACTAACTCTAAAAAATACTAATAATATAATTAATAAAAATCGATATATAAATCTTTATTAAAGAGAATATAGAGAGATCGCGTTAAATTAATCGCGATTCTAGAGTAGGTAGCTTAGTACTAATTACCTATAAATAGATATTATATATAAAATATAATATATCTCTAGGAGATAGATAAGAGGATTATTAATTTAGCTAAAGACTTTAATACTACCTATAAAGCGTATAAGTCCGATTATAGGTTTTTAGATAAAGACCGGAAGGATTCTATAAAGGCCGAGATAGATTCTCGGAAATTATATATTCCGGTAGTAATTCGCTAACGACCTATTTTAGTATTATAGCTATCTCGCTAATCGCTATATAATATACCTAAACCCTATCCCGCGCCCCCTTATTTCTTCGATAGAAGAGTAGTAGAAATAGTTCTATACTAAAGCGGGATAGCGTCTCTAGGTAGGAGATAACGGTTTTATTATTTAGATCTAGGATAAATATAATCTTTTAGTAATTTTGCTAAGCGTAAGCGAAGCAAATAATATAGGCAATATACCTAATAGACTATACTAAAAAACCCGCCTTATAAATTCTAAGATCCTAGCCTCTAATTAGCTATAGAATTCACTCCTTATATAATTAGGGTAGGGTTATATTACGTAATTCGACTTTAAGGGCCCGGCCTAGATTTATATATAATAGATAATACTATATATTTAGTATATACTTCCTATTATTATCCGGCCTATATATAACCCGGCTTTAAATAGGCCTTATTACTTTTTTTATAATATAGTCTTATACCGCGTTATCTAATACTAATTATCTATTTTATAAACTATATTACCTCTACCTCTTATTATAGCTCTATTTATATACGCTTATAAGCCTCCTCGCGTTATAATAGATCTTATAACTTACGTTAAATATAGTAATACTAAGCCTATAGATTAATTTAATATATCCTAGGATCTTATAATTTATACTAAGTCCCCCTAAACAAAAAGCATTTGTGCAGAGGCGGCCATTTCTGGCCTCAAAGGGGGCCGAAAGTGGCCGCCTCGGCACAGTTCTTCCGCACACGCACTTTCAGTCCCAGAGCCACGCGCTCCTCGCCTCCCCCTTATAACGCGCACCGTCACGTTCTTATTCGGTCATATCGGTGCCTAGGCGCGTGGCTCCCCTTCCCCTGCCCTCGAGCCCCGCTCCTACTTTCTATCGACTTCTACCCACCTCCGGGCCTACTCCTTAAGCGCTACTATGACACCTTCGTTTTATAAGGTCGCCAAAAATGGCACACTCCATCCTAGGCTCATTAGTCGCTAGGGAAATGGGGTCTATAGCTATAAAGCCGCTAATAGTCCCTCCTCATTCTCCTACCTAGCCCTCCTCTCACCTATCCTTTACTAGTCCCTCCTTTAGCGCGCGCTTTATAGTCGTTCGTTATCTCTATTAATTTGTCTACCTACCTAGAGCGGCTTCGCGTATATCTTTATTTCCCTAGACGCAGTATAAGCGACATTATAGATCTATCCTCTACGACCGATAGTAATACTTCCGGGGTGTCTTTCTAGCCTAATATCGATACGGCCGATAACTCCGATTCCGGGGAAGCCTCAAATTCAACCGAGCTAACAACTCCGGAACCTACCTATCTTCCTAATACTCGTAGTAGACCTTCTACCCGTCTAAAACAACCCGTACCCCGTCTAGCGGACGCTAGTATTCTACCCGATCTTAGTGATAACCTAGATAACGATATAGACGAGGACATTACAAACGTACCACTTGATTATAGGCGCTTAGAATAAACTAAGGTTCGGGGTCGACGAATAGAAAAGCGCTAGGATAAGTAAGCATTTATTCAAACCTACGTAATAGGGAGGTGATTACTAATATAAGGCGTAGGTATTACCGAGTTAAGGCTACTTAGGCTAGTACGCTGTTAAAATAGGATAACCTAGTAGAGGCACTACGCGAGGTTACTCCTAATAACGTATATCGTTTTTTCAACTATTATATAAAGCTAAAGTATAGCGAAGGCGGTCGTTATCTAAAGGGAATATCGAAAGCGAGCGCCCTAAAAGCTAATTAGAAAGGATTTCGGGGTTACTATCGAAGAATTATACGGACTAGGATAACGGCCGAAGATAGCGAAGAGATTAATACGGTAAGTTATTCCTCTTAGTCTAACGCTTAGAGCTAACTAGGTTCTAGGGCATTCGGAAACTTATCGATAAATTCGACCTCGATATATAAGAACGGGGCAAAGAGCCGGTATACGTCTAAGACTTAACTAAATTAAACGAGACGATTCTCCGAACTTAGGAAAGACGATTTCATTTTAGATACGAGCGAATCTAGCTCTATCTCTTCAATATACTCGGTATTTATACCGTAAACCGTCTATATACTCTTCTTTCGCTATAGTTCTACTATCTACGTTTCTCTATATAAGATAATCCGGACGGGGGCCCTCCCGTACTTTTAGTAGAGATTAAATCGGAGTATATAAAGCGATTCCTTAGAACTTCCTAAATATATATATCGTGCGTTAAACCCAGGAATAATAATCCTAATATTAACACTACTTAGTAATAATTTTCCTTTCCCTAAAATTATTAACGATCCGTCGCTTATCTTTAGCCCTTATATATTTATATTCGGTATACTTCTTTAGCTCTAAGCCTTCAAAGTCCCTACGCTTTCCTCTATAGAGCGCCTTCGAAAGCTATTCGTTTAAGGTAGCCGATAATAGATAGAACTACCCTTAAAGCGCGAAGTCGAAGGCTATTATATCTTCTATAAGATAGAAGTAATTAATAGACGTACGGTTCTTTAATAGAACTAGCCGATAACCGATAGCGCTATATCTAGGCGTCTAAGAAATCTAGGAGAGATCTACGGCCTCCTTTAGTCAATATTCGCCTATCGTTTTCGCTATAGAGGGGGAAAGATATTAAACGAAAGTAGCGCGGTTAGCGAAGTATAGCAAAATCTAATTATAAAACACGCTAATACTCGCACTTTCTTAAATTATTATCTTCTACGATATATCGACACCGATATATAAAACGTTATAAACGGCCGCGAATCTAATAAGTCTTTAATACGCGCTATCACCCAGATAAGTAGGTAGATTAATAAGAGACGCCCTCGATACCTTACTTCGGAGTAACGAGCGTCCCTTTATAAATATCTAGAATATATCGAGGCTACTCGGCGAATAAAGGAGTAAGCCAAGGAGTGCAAATACGATCCTAGTATAGCGATATAATCGCGATTAGAGAAATTGATACGCGAAACCTCTAATATATTCGGCCGGTTAGAAAGAATACTAAGACGGAAGGTACGCTATAAGTTCGACCGCAAATAGGCTATTATAGATATTAAGCGATAGCTCTTAGGGGCTACTATTAATAACGAAGAGGCGAAGAAGATACTTTAAGTAGAAGACTAGATACTACCGGAGTAAATTAATCTTCTTAAGAAATTATTTATATAGCCTACCTCTTAATCCCTAGAGGCGGAGTAGCAAAGAAGGAACGCTACCGTGGCTACGATCTCCCGATACTATAGTTTCCTTAAAGATAGGCTATTACGTAAGCGACGTAAACGGGCTATACTAAGTGATAGGTTCGATAAAGAACAGACTAGCGTATTACTAGAGCTAGCTAAGAAGAGTTATAGCTCTCTAAAGCCTTCGTAGTAGGATATTCTTCTTATAAATACTAAAAATTATATCAAAAAGGCTAAGAAGCCCCGCCGATATTTTTAATATTATAACGATACCGAACTTCCTATTTATCGCTATATATAGAAATATAGCGAATATAAGTCGACTCTACGATACTTTCGAGAGAAGCACTTATATAATCGAAAATATCATATATATAACGAAGATCTACTATATAAGATATATCTTCGCAGGTATATAGAAGAGGTTCATCGCCTTAATACTAAACGGAATTACTACGCTAAGAAAGATACGAAAGAAGATACGGGATCAGATATTAATACCGATTAATTAGGAGGCTTATAGGTTTTCGGTCAAATTTAAGAACTTTATCCTTTTTTCTTTGCTTAGCCGTTTCCACTCTTCGAGTAAACGTCTACGCTCCCGTCTTTAGTAGCAGTCTAGCCCTCCTATATAGCTCTACACAATAGTAATACACTATAAACGCCAGTAAGTTATACGTTACGCTTATAAGCTAGTAGCTCTAGGAACCAACTAAAGTTCCCTAGAACGAAGTATTATTCCTAGGGGCTTTAAGGTTGATTCTTAGGAGCTTAGGCGTATCGGGGCCTAATATTAATAAATAATATAATACAGCTAACGGTTACTTAGGGGGTCGACTAGAAGTATAATATTAAAGTTACTATCTACGATATATATATATATCATTCTTAATATACCCCCGTAGAATTCTACAGCACGATCCCTATACCTCCCGGGAAGTGTTACGTTAGTTCCTAGAGGACGTTTAGCTCCTAGAAGCCGATAGCATAACTAGAAGCGATAATTAAAAATAAGCGTTAAAGTTTTCCTAGAGTATAATCCTAGAGAAGGTTCCCCCGTTTAGTATACGCGGGCCAGCTTCCTAGGAGTATAAAGTTTATCTTTAGGAATACGGACCACCTCTCCTAGGAGCTATATTACTCCTAGAACCCTACATCAAGTTCCTAGAGGCAACTACTAGTCATCTTAGGATTAACGGAAGTGATTCTAGGATCGGTATTTTCCTCATTTTTCCAAACTAGGGTGATCCGTATCTTATTTTACTATACGTATACTAGCCCTAGGGACTCTTATCTATTATAGGGGCACTTTATTCGAGCCTAGGAACCTATAATTTACCTCTAGGAAAGGCTTAAGCTTCTAGGAGTAGCGAAGCTCCTAGAGCTAGCCTATACGTCCCTAAAGTCGATAGGGCCTATATATAAAAGTGCCTCTCAAATTTTCTTAATTCATCCTTAAAGGAAGTCGATCCTAGAGACAGCCCTAGTGGCTCTAGTAACGTATAAGCCGACCCTAGGAGCTTATAAATATATATATTGATAAATACAAACTCTTTTAATTCTCCGTTTCCAGGTACTTCCCCTTATTATTCGGTCTTATAGTCCCTATATATAGCAAGCCGTTTCGTACCGCTAGGGAATACCTTAAAACTACTATATAGCTAGAGGTATACTTACAATACTTCGCAAGTAAAGGGCTTCCGGATAAGGTTAGCTTTTAGATATTTTACGACCCCGGGTATATTACGCGCCACTTCGATACTATTTATCCTAAAGAAGAACCCCTTAAATATAACTAGTATAAAGTAGGCTTACTATATCGAATAGCTTTATAACGCTATACTTCTAATATATACCGCGTACGGAGTCGCTAGCTATACTCGAATCCGATATAGGGACTTCAAAAACAAGAATAGACCGGCTATAAATATACCCGACTCAGTACTTAACGTTTTATATATACTATTTTAGTTTTATGCAATCTAATCGGGTTATATATATATATACGATAAATCACGCAAAATAGTATCTAATCGTCCCTTAGAAGTAGCCTACTTAAACTATTAGCTCTTAGGTATATAATAAGCCTTATACCCTAACTCTAGCTTAGTTAGACTTCTACTTTCCTCCTACCTAGTCAACCTAGCACCTAGGTATACGTATCTTCTTTTTAAGCCATAATAACTAGCCCTTTAAGCACGATTATTATTAAAGATAACGAACTACCCCCGAGCTAGCGGTCAGCCAATTTATAGGTCTAAAGGACGTCTCTACGTACATCTCCTAAGATCCTAATTAAACCAAACGATGCTGCGAGTGGTAGTATAGAACTATCCCACAAACGCAAAAGGGCTAAAAGGAAACAACCTAACACTCTAGTATAGCCTTTCCTCTAAGATACCCCGTTTTCCTAAGCTAATAATAAGACCAAGATACCTATTTCAAGAAGCTGCGTAAGATATTTGACTAAAGAGATCAAGAAGTTAAAAAGCTCGATCAAAAAGTTAAAAATCTCGAGCAAGAAGTTGAAAAGTAGCAAAAGCAAGTCTAGGAACTTCAGAGTAAGCTTCTCCTATAGGAAGACCGGCATTAAGAGGAGCTTTCCCGACGACGCATTCTAGACTATAAAATTTACTATAAGCAGCCGGATTGTTAGCATAATCTACTATATAGGCATATGATTTGTGAGCTATATGTAAAACTAGTTAATCTAAGCACGTGCCCTTTTTATAGATAGACATTTTCGGGGTATATCAAATACTATCCATTTACAAAATAGATATATATATATTTTCTAATTTAAGCTCGATGCACTTAGTGATTTAGCTCGAAATCCTCTTTTACGAGCTTAGGACTAATTATAATTTACGAATACCATAAAGTTTATAGTATATAACTAAAAGATAGGGTCGGGACCGTGCCAATCATAGACGCTTAGGCTATTTTTAGCATTATCTTCGATATTAACGCCGTCTAACAGTTCAAACTTATTACTCTACGTCTTAAAGTAAAATTGCCGGATTATTCTGATTTTCTTACAATTTCATAAGGTAGCTAGATAGAGTAGATCTCTATATTTATCTATAAGTATAGCGTACTACTACTATATACCTACGTACCAATCCCAATTTCCCAGCGATTTTAGAAAGAATCCTATTCTAAGGAAATAGAGATACTATAAGATAATTGAACTTAAAGATTTAAATATTATAACGGGGAAATAGGTATATTTAGGTCGTAGAAGACGGGTATACTTATACACCTTATCTATATTACGCTTTTACGCCTTATAACTATTACGCCAATTTCTTATATCCGGTTAACACCGCTAGGAGTCGAAGATTATTAGTATCTAGGAACTATACCTATCTCCCCTAGGGGCGAGCCAGACCGTTCCTAGCCTCTCTTATCTTTAATCCTAAGTTATTTCGGTAATCCTAAAGACAAAGTCGATATTCTTAGGGACGGACTAGTAATCCTAGGGATAGACGGGTATTCTTAGGGATAGACTAGTAATCCTAGGGACGGACTAGTGATCCTAGGGACGGATTAGTAATCCTAAAGACAGAGTCGGTAATTCTAGAGACGGACTAGTTTTCTTAAAGCAATCTATCTCGCTTCCCGATCCGCTACTATCCGCAAATATATACGTAGCCTATCTCTCGGATACGAATTAGTAGAATAGATTCACTACAGTCTATATCTTACTAGTCGATAATCCCGACCGTACAACATCGATAATATAGTAGATATTAGCATAATTAGAAGTCTATACTACCTTAAGAAACCCGTCTATAAATTGCTAATAGTACATAATTTCTTCTTCTATCATACTTAAGTAATGCCGAAATTAGTCTTTCCTTTTTACATTTAAGGCCCTTAACTTATAGGGCAGACGGTTAAGCTCCTAGAAGCACTCGGTCTCCTAGAAACGGGAGTATGGTTCCCGGAAACCGGACGGGTGCTCCTAGGAACGATATAAGTATTTCTAGGAGCTTATATAGTCCTAGGAACTATACTTCCGTTTCTAGGAAACTAGCAGCCTTAAGCTATCGATAAAAATAGACACCTTATTAGCTACGAAAGTACGTAAACGATATTAATATAATAAACTATAGACTTAACTAATAGTTATAATAGAATATCGTAACCAACTTATAAGTCTTACGTTACTAGCCGTCTTTAGACCTAAGGTTCACGACTATATAGGGCGTAAAGTCGGAGGAGACGCTAGTAGGCGGTCTAGTGGTCTAGTAGGTCTTAAGACCGCGGTCTTAAAATCTACCATATCTCTAGATCTATATCTACCGCCCTCGGGCCGGTATCACCGAGCCCTAGTACGTAGTCCTATATAAGCAGACTTTAGATATAGTTCTTATAACTACCTATAATTCAAGTCTTTAGTCTAATATCTTTAATAGCCTTACGACGAAACACGTATTAACTCGGGCTTCGATCCTAACCTTAGGCCGGTCACCGTCTTAGGGCTACTTTAATACGATTAGTTCGAAGGCTAACTTAATATACTAAGCAATCTTTATAAGTTTAATCTGTCTTTCGTATCCTAGATCTTCTTCCCTATTTTAATCTCCTAGAAGTCTTAACCATAGCCCTAGGAACCACTTATGATTCTAGGAGTTAATAAAGCTATTAACAGGAATATAGCTTTAATTCCTCGAAGTAGGGGTAAAAAGCCCCAGGAGCTACGTTATATTTCCTAGGATCTATTTAACTCCTAGAAGCTACTTATATACTCCTAGACCGCACTAAAGTTTCTAGGAGCAAGAGAACCCCTAGGGCCAAGACGTACGCTATTAAAACACGCTTCTAGGATCTATACTATCGGCTTTTGGGAGCTAAACGTCCTTTAGGAACTATATCTATCTCCCTTAGGAGCGAGCTAGACCGTTCCTAGCCTCTCTTACCTTTAATTATAAGTCATTTTTATAATCCTAGGGGGGGACTAGTGTTCTTAGGGACGGACGGGTAATCCTAAAGGCAGAGTCGGTAATCCTAGGGACGGACTAATAATCCTAGGGACGGACTAGTGATTCTATAGATAGACTAGTATTCCTAAAGCAATCTATCTCGCTCCCCGATCCGCCACGATCCGCCACGATCCGCTACAACAGTTCCTAGAGGCTATTAAGCTTCTAGAGGCCGTAAGCATGACCCTAAGAGCGATAGTAGTAGGCTCCCTAACTACTTAGCAAAACATAGATTAATTAGGTAAGCAGCTAGCTAGGTTTAAACTAGAATAAGATAGGCAAACGTATTTAAGTGTGGTATCGTAGAAGAATTAAGAGGCCACTTATTTTCGATGGCTTTCGAGGCCGATTCAACGTGTTTGAGTACTTGTTATAATAAAGTAAGGAAACGGATGCCCTTTAAAAAAATGGTATTATAGAAATCGGATAGGTTAGTACTATAGATCCTAAATATATATTAACTATTATATACGATAAACTCGATAAACGTTAAGTAAATAGGAAGTCAATAGTTGTTAACGTCAGTTAGTTCTTACGGTCCTTATTCTTTATACGCAAGTCAAACGTGAGGGGAGTTCTTTATGAGTGTTTTACTCGTTCGAAGAAAGTATATATTTAATTTTGTTTAATAAATTTAATTGATCACTACCTTAGCAGAAAAGGAAGGGTGGTATTTATTAGATATTATTAGCTTATTTGTCTCTACTTACTTTAATATCCGTATATCCCCTAATACCTTACCACCCCCTAAGTTTACTAGCGAGATTTTTTTTCACCCCGCTCCTATAAGATTATTCTTAGCCGATTGCTAATACTTAACGTCACTATATACCCCTCTTTACCTTATTCCCTTAGCAACCGATATTCAGCCACTCGGCAGAGAACGGACTAGCTAAGATACAAGAATCCTATAGACTCGAGAGCCCTATTCTATAGTTACTCGACGTTTCTTTATACGCGCTATATCCTACTACCCTTTTTACTTTTTATCGCATTAATATATTAAGTCTCTTTTTATACGTATTTCATACGTTCCTATATTTATTATTCTTTCCGTACATTACTAGTTTATAGTTTAGGACTAGCGTTACTCTAAAACTAAACTAACCGAGTTAAGTATATACAAATTATATATAATAGAAAGAAAGAGTTAACGATTAGAGGTAGTAAGCAATAGTAAACAAAGAACTACTCGTAGAGTCATAATATTAATAAGCGATAAAATTTAACCTAGGGTTTATATATTTTTAACGATCTAACGATCTAACGATTATAATAGTAGAATAAACGAAACACTATAGACTAACTAAGGAGTAAGGTTAGACTTATAGCGGTTAGTAATTAAACGATTAATTAGCTTAGAAATCCGAGTACAGAAGTTTTATCAAATCTTTATCTCCTAAATTTAAGGTATAATACTAGTTATAAAATTAATTAATATAGAAAAGATTTATTTTTCTAAATAGAAAATTAGTTACTCTATTCACACCTATATTTAACCGATTCTTCTAATATTTATATATCGGTTAGCTCTAATAACTAGACTTTAGCTTAATACATTATAATATCGTTAACCGGCTCCTCGACCTTTAGAGAAGCTAACCGCTTTTCGGTACAGCGGGTATTAATATAGCTATATCAATAAACTTATTAGGACAGTTTTAGGTCTACGTAGGCTATAACTCTAAAGACCACGGTTTCTAGAGGGCGACACTAGTTTTCAACGCTTTAATACTATAGCTATTCGAAGGGTTTTAGAATCCCTAAGAACTACTTAAATATATATATTTAGATCCCTAATCTCCTTAGCTATTCCTAATAGTAACGCTTTAAGGCATCTCTAAACATAACTTCTATACCTCCCACCCAGTCTAATCAACCTAGATCTATCAAAAAGTCTATACACTAAAAGCAAGGCCGTCACAAATCAAGCTTAATAAAAAAAGCGTCCGAATATAGCAAGATATACAATACAAACGTCTATATAGGCATACGCCTTCGGGAAACCGGCTAAGTATTTATCCTATCAGCGGATACTTCGGGATTTTAGGTATTCCTTAGCTCACAATTAGTATATCTTTAATTATATTTATAATAAAAAGACAACTAACCTATTAAGAATTCCTACTATCCAGCCCCAAAGCTAGTCATAAACCCAGATCTAGAGCAAGTTAACAAAGATACATCTAAATAATATATATAAAGTTATATAACTAGAGCGGTTCTTCTACTAGATTAGACCTTTATAATCAATATTTTATTTACTATATTCTCGGTAGGCGACTTAGAACAGTCATTATCTTAATAGATTAGAAGTCACTAAGGCCCTAAAGGTCAAGGAGGCTAGAATAAAGCCTAGAAATATAGCTAGCACGGGTAGAATTAAACTAGCCTTACGATAGTTTTTATTACCCCACTAAAATGATTTAGCTACTCTAAGATAGAGAAAGGAGTAGCGGTAGGCTAATTATATATTATACTCCAACCAACCCATCAAAACGTATAATTAATAGGACGAAAATACACAGTATATATCCTAAATAAAAATAACAATATATAAGAGATAAAAAAAACCCTTCGTATTTTATCTATCTATCATCAGATTATCTAAAGCCTATAATAAGGCAATAATATATATAATACGTCCAATAGCTTTAAACTTTTATCTACTCAGGATCTAAGTCTAGGGTAAGCACTATATTAAAACCGAATAGATCTAAAGGGGGGGGAGTAGACATTACTATATAGTGTATTCAGAGGAAGAGTAGAGGAAACGGTTAGCGGGAAGTAGAAGATAGGGTGACCTAGATAACGATTAAGTTAGATAGAGAGCGGGCTAAAAAAAATACCCTTCAATACCGCCTTCTTTTATCGTGGGACGGTTTCAGTGGCTATATATAAGCGCCTACCGAGGCTCTGAAACGGGAACATAGATCTAGCGTCTATAGCGTAAACTATCGTCTAATAAAAGCCACTATAGAGACCCGCTCCTATAGTAAGATGATAAGCCAATAAACGCAATCCTTACTAAACGGCGTCTAGCTAAACCGCTATCGGCAATTTATAGTCGCCCTAGACTATCTCAAAACTAGCCCGGGCCTAGAATAATTAGACTAGGAGAGAACTAGTATTAAGACCTAGCTTATATAACGTTTACCTTTCTATATCGTATATACTCTTTAGTTAGCCGTATTATGACTAATTTCCTCTTAAGAGGATTATTCTAAGGAAACCTTACTCTTAAAACGGTCTAGCTAGTAGTGATTTTTTATCCTCTTATTTCATACTCTATAGGATACTCTATATAGATCTATTATAGATATAAGATCTATCTTTCATCCTAGTACCACTTCTATTAGAATTCTTTCGGGGACTATACGTCTTATCTATATCATGCTCTTAGTATAAGTAGCATAGGTCTATATATGTCCTAAAACGGGTATCTTATGAGTACCTAGGATACTATCTATAGAAGGTTCTTCTCCTTTATAAGTTGACTATTAGTCGCGAGCTTCTCTTCTTTATACTTAAATACCACAACTCGGCTTAACGCCTACGAGCTTTCTACTTAGTATAATATATTATTTAAAAGCTATACCGGAAGTTTATTTATATCTTATATCTTATTAAAGGCTCGAAGGCTTAAATATATTTATATTCGTAGTCGCTATTTATATTAGGCTCTTTTATACATTCTACTGACCGCCTCTAGGAAGCCCTAGCGATTCGCTACGCTTCTAGAGTACTACTAGTTTCTATATAGACTTCCTTCCTATATAGCAGTTTCTATATAGACTTCCCTTTTATATAGCAGTTTCTATATAGACTTCCTTCCTATAGAGTAGTTTCTATATAGACCGCCCTTCTATATAGCAATTTCTTATTCTCTAAGAAAGTATTATATAGCTCTTTAGTTATCGATCTACGCTAGAAAAGATTCTAATAACTCTTCATCCGTATAATCCGTTATAGGGCCGGTAAAAATAAGCCTTACTTCTAGTCTAACTACCCAAATATCATATAAATATTCATAATATTCAGCCGTACTTTATTTAGGGGTTTTAAAAAGTCTAATAGGCCATTTAGGAAGGCCTTAGTTTTATCCCGGGTAGTTAGAGCTTACTAAAGAACTAAGACCTTCACATAATTCTTTAGGCTTAGGCGAGAAAACCCTTCCGACTAAAAGATTCTATCTAGCCGGGCTATATACAAATCTCGAATAGTTCGAGGCCCTATATTATCTTTTTAGAAATAGTACAAGTATACTATACCTTCGCTCTCCCTTTATAGTAGTTCTAATATTCCTAGAATATATCTTCCTAAGACATAATATATTTCCGAGATAGGTAGATAAAATCGAGGAGAAAATAATAAGACTTAAACTTTAAGAAGGTAATTTTAAATAAACCTAAATAAAAGATCCCTTTAAAATTTTATATTCGGAATATTCGACCTTTAGGAAAATTATAGTACGCAAATTTTAAGAGGCGGTATAATTTAAGTGATTATAAAATCTATAGCCCGAAATTTTAAAAGATAATATAATTCAAGTAATAGTAAAATTTATAGCCCGAAATTTTAGCCCCCTAAGAATATTCTATTATCCTAAAGCTTATAGATCTATAATTTTTTACTCCGTTAGTATTAACCGGATATAGGGAATTAGCGTAATAGTTACAAGGTACAAAAGCGCAATACAAACAAGATATATAAGCATAAGCGCCTACGAGATAAATATAATATATAGCCACTTCCACATTCTTTTATTCTCGGCCTTTCAAAGGAAACTTACTCTTGAAATACGGTTACTTTCCCGTCGCTATACCTATTTAATAACCGCAAATAATACTAGTGATTACCCTTTAAGTCTTACGGGCGCCGCCTTTATAAGTTTAATATATAAAGGACCAATTTACGTATAATAATTTGAGGAATATTGTGGTCTTTAAATACCGTGGTCTTTTCGCGTTCTATTATTGATAGCTCCCCTTTATATAATAACATTTATATTTATTAAGCCCTTTTCTATTAGCGGACTAAGAGTCCCCTCTATCTATATTTTTCTATATAGTTTTCTCTACTTCCCAAATACCCTAGATATTAAGATAACATACCCAATAGCCGCTATTAAGGCTACTAAGTCTAAGGGTACCACTTCGAAAAGAAAATTAATACAGCAAAAACAATACCAGCGTAAAGCAAGTCTAATAAGAAAGGCATACGAATATAGTAGGATATACAGCGCAGATATATACATAGGAATTCGTATCCGAGAGACGGGCTAGGTACATATTTTATTAGCGGATACTTCTAGATTCTAGGCTTTCCTTAGCTTATAATTAGTATATCTCAAACTATAGCTCTAATAAAAAGATAATTGACCTATCAAGAACTCCTACTATCCAGCCCCGATGCTAATAATAGACCAGGATCTATAGTAGGTTAGCAAAGATATACCGTAATAACCTATATAAAGTTATAAGACCGAAGCGGAACTCTTACTAGAAAGAACCTTTATCTTTCCTATCCTCAATCAGAGATTTTATATAACCATTATCCTAATAGTTTAATTTACTTTACGAGAATATAGCCGTGATTAGCGGTCTAATAATAAATTCTATATATAGAAGAAGGCTTTATAAGGAAGAGATCTCCGTATAAAAGATAACTATAATATAGAGGCTTACGGAGACCTAATTACTAACCTAAATAGGGCTAGCAAATACGAGATATTATTAGCTAGCCTAGCTACTCAGTCTTCCTACTCCTAGATAGAGAAAGGAGTAGAGAACCCTTCTTAGATCTTTAGTACGTCCTTATCTCCGGCTAATACCGAACAACTTTAATATTATTACCTCCGTAATTTCTACTTAGGAACGCTATAGGTCCTAAGAGCGAAGGGCTAGTAAATAACTATTTAGAACTTATAAGATAGTTTCCTACATACTAGGACGCTTATTCCTAGGATCTATAGTATAGTTCCTAGGTACGCTCTTAGCCGCTCCTAGGAATCAGAGAGGTATTTTTAAGATCACTTAATCCGTACCTAGGAGCGCGTCTAGCGTTCCTAGGCTATAATTAGCTCCGGGGAACTCGATCGGCGTTCCCAGAAGCCTATATCTTATTTAGGGTCTATAAGACCGAGCTAAAGTCTATACTAGGTCGATAATTAGCTTCTAAGGAGATAATTAAATATACTATTCTTAATCGTAACAACGAAACCAAAATAAATACTATATATATTAATAAGAGCTAAGAATAGTAAACCCTTAAGTAAATTTCAAATTATCCGGCGTAGTAACCGGTCCTCTTCTTAGATATTTCTAGCGACCATAATAATCGTACGGTTAGTCTAGGACTAATAGGGAAACGTAGTACTTCCCAAGATTTAAAACTTCTAGGCTATTATAATTATATAAAAGGCTTAGGATTAGAGCCTATAGATTATCTACGATCTTATAGGAGATAGCGAGTAGGGACGCACTAGAGAGTAGGGACGTACTAGAGAGTAAGGACGCACTAGATAATAAAGAAGCACTAGAGAGTAGGGACGTACTAGAGAGTAGGGACGTACTAGAGAGTAAGGACGCACTAGAGAGTAGGGGCGCACTAAAGAGTAGGGACGCACTAGAGAGTAGGGACGCACTAGAGAGTAGGGGCGTACTAGAGAGTAGGGGCGTACTAGAGAGTAGGGACGTACTAGAGAGTAAAGGCGCACTAGAGAGTAGGGACGTATTAGAGAGTAGGGGCGTACTAGAGAGTAGGGACGCACTAGATAATAAGGACGCACTAGAGAGTAGGGACGTACTAGATAGTAAGGAAGCACTAGAGAGTAGGGACGTACTAGAGAGTAGGGGCGTACTAGAGAGTAGGGACGTACTAGAGAGTAGGGGCGTACTAGAGAGTAGGGACGCACTAGAGAGTAGGGGCGCACTAGAGAGTAGGGACGCACTAGATAGTAGGGACGTACTAGACAATAGGGACGCACTAGAGAGTAGGGACGTACTAAATAGTAGGGACGTACTAGATAGTAGGGACGTACTAGAGCTATTTAGGTAGGGCAATAAGCGCGACACAAGTTTTAGTACCGCGCTCCTTTAGATACAAGCCTCCTAATTAATCGGTATTAATATCCGATCCCGTATCTTCTTTAGCGTAGTAATTCCGCTTAGTACTAAGGAGATAAACCTCTTCTATATACCTACAAAGATACATCTCATATAGCAGATCTTCGTCACACATATAATACCTTCGATCCTACAAGTACTATTTAAAAGCAAAAGTAGGGGAGTAACTAATAATAGATCAGAGGGGCCAATATATAATTAGTTCCTAACTTATCCTTACTCCGCCTTAGAGAAGCTCCAGACCACTAGGTAACCCTACTAGCTATCCCGCCGATTTATAGCCCTATCGATAAAAGTAGCCGGATATGGTTAGCGTATCTCTTACTATTGTTAAGTACTACTAGACCGAAATTAGTAACCTAACTCCGTATATTTCGAGCACCTTTATCGCTTTTTGACCTAGATACTAGTATTAATTATCTCCCGGAATCAAGTTCTATATAGCAAATAAGGAACTACGTATATTATCCTTTAGTTAAGTAGATAGCCTTGCCTAATCTTCTCTATAAGCGTAGCCCGTCCGATCCTTTATATCCCACGATAGACCACGATTCCCTCCGATAAACTTATAACCCTTCTCTTTAAGGGCGTAGATGTTAATATCTAAAACCTATAGTCTTACCTATAATAGATATGATCCGGCGATCGATTTATTCGCGGGAATATCTAAATACGCTAAAACCGTGGTCTTTCCTACGATAGACGTAATCCGACGATCGATTTATTCACAGGAATATCTAAGTACGCTAAAACCGTGGTCTTTCCTACGATAGATATAATCCGGCGATCGATTTATTCGTAGGAATATCTAAGTATACTAAAACTATGGTCTTATCTACAATAGATATAATCTAGCGATCGATTTATTCGTAGGAATATCTAAGTATACTAAAACCGTGGTCTTACCTACAATAAATATAATCCGGCGATCGATTTATTCGCGGGAATATCTAAGTACGCTAAAACTATGGTCTTTCCTACAATAGACGTAATCCGACGATCGATTTATTCGTAAGAAAATCTAGGTATACTAAAACTATGGTCTTTCCTACGATAGACGTAATCCGACGATCGATTTATTCGCGGGAATATCTAAGTATACTAAAACCGTGGTCTTTCCTATAATAGACGTAATCCGACGATCGATTTATTCGCGGGAATATCTAAGTACGCTAAAACCGTAGTCTTTCCCACAATAGACGTAATCCGACGATCGATTTATTCATAGGAATATCTAAGTACGCTAAAACCGTGGTCTTTCCTACGATAGATATAATCCGACGATTACCTAATCCTACCTTTATAATAAAGACCGAGAAAGCCGCATAATATAGTTACTATAACTAGTAATTCTATAGATAGTCGTACTACTACTCCTAAGAGAGTCTCCTTTAAGGAGCGATTAACGGGGAAGTCACGTACGAAGTACCGCTTAAAAACAAAAATAGGAGAGTAATAATAGGTCAGAGGAGCTAATATATAATCGGGTCCCGACTAGCGTACTCCTTATAAGTAGTAATTATAAATACTAGAAAGCTAAAGCATCTAGCGTTCTCTCTTAGCCTTAGGCTTAGGTTACTATTCCGGGAGCAAGCGTAAGAAGTACAATATAATACGTGGTTGATCCAAAGTTCTAAAAGCCGTCACAAGCTATATAATAATCGTCGCCGGTTTTAGTTAGAAATAAGGTAGATCGCAAAAATCGGGAGTTCCGAGTACCATTACAGAGAACATCCTAGGGAGTAGAAAGGCGAGGGGTTCTAGCTTAGCGGAAGGTACTACCAAATAATAATTCGGCCGATCCGAAACTAAGCATTAGACTCTATACTTACGGTATATATAGTAGTTACGCCTATAGACTTATAAGCTTAGTATAGCTTCGCTTTAACACTATATCTTATTTGTAAAGGCCGAGGTAGTTAAACGACTACTACCACGGCCTACCGTTAATTCTCAATTAATTAATAATAGTCTCTTAATCAGATTAAATAAACTAGTCTATAATATATAAAGGCCTACCTAATTATAAGTTTAATAAATACTAGTAGAAAAACAGAGGTAGAAAATAGAGGTAGTGATATTATAGCAATTAAAATTCAAGTATTTAAAATAAGGGCTATTAAAAGTGGTGAGAAGGTTGTTTAGATACTATCCCTTCTAAAAAGAAATTAGGTTAATTGAATAGGATTAGTTAAACAATATCACCCTCTCCACCTAGATATAGGTCCGTATATTTTCCTAATACTCTTACACCCCCAAGGTCTCTAGCCCGAAATTAGTTTAGCCTAGTTATAAGGACTACCTCCGCTCTATTCCGAGCCCTTAGGCGAGACCGGAGAAGTTGAACTTACTATCCTCGTTCTCTCCTATAGTTTACTAGTAGACGTAGGGGTAGCGGGGTATTAGATAATACACGGACATTACGGAGTAGAGTAAGTGGAGACAAATAAGCTAATAATATCTAATAAACACTATCCTTCCTTTTCTACTAGGTAGTAATCAATTTAACTAATTAATAAAACACTCGCCTAGTAACTTTATTCACGTTTAATATACGCATAAAGGGCAAGGACCGTAAGAACTAATACTACCATTAAGAACTATTAACTTCCTATTTACTTAACGTTTATTAGGTTCGTCATATATAATAGTCAATATACGTCTAAGATCAACCAATCTACCCGATTTCTATAATAACATTTCTTAAAGGGCATCCATTTCCTTACTCTACTATAACAAGAGCTTAAACACGTTAAATCGGCCCCTAATACTATCGAAAATAAGCGGCTTCTCAATTCTTTAATACCGCCGTACTTAAATATATTTGCCTATCTCGTTCTAATCTAAACCTAGCTAGCTATTTTTTAATTAACCTACGATATACTAAGTTAGCGAGCTATATTTAATCACCGCTCCTAGGATTATACTTACGGCCTCTAAGAGCTTAATATCCTCTAGGAACTATACCTATCACTCCTAGGAGCGAGATAGACCGTTCCTAGGCTCTCTATCTTAGATCCTAGAGTATACCCGTCCGTTTATAGGGCCCTATAGTTCTCTAGGAACTATAGTTACGCTTCCGAATATATATAGGTCGTACGGGGAACTCTATAGGGGCAAGATAATCTAGGAACCACTATAAGATAACTTCCGTAGAT